TTCCCTACAAAATTGCTAGAGAGATCTGATGGCTGCAAGTGAAACATATTTCGAGAATACTGCAGAATTATTTAAGATCAAGACCAAACTTCATGATTAGTGCCAATGAGAGCTAAATGTCACCAAATACTTCAATACCTTGTGAAAGTATTGATTACAAGTAGCCATGTCACGTGTGTAAATGTCCACATGGTGTTGGGATGTTTAAATCCATTATTGAGGAGAAGATAACTATAAAATTCATAGTAGGAGTAACTCAAGAATTGGATGAAGCGAGAGGGAAGATCATGGGAATAAATTTACTTCCATCACCTTATGAAGCCTTCACTGAGGTTAGGAGAGAAGAGAACAAAAAGAAGCTGATGATGACCTAAAATGAGAGTTCACCAAGTAATCAAAGCTCAAGAGAGCAGAAAGAAGTTGATGCTGATTGGAAATATGGGTTCTCTAATTATTGAAAGCTCAGCCCTGTACACCCATAATTCTTCCCATGACTCAAAGATCAAAAAAATTGTCCCACATGTGACTTTTGCAAGAAGATTGAGCATATCAAAGACAAACATTTGAAACTTCATGAAAAACTTGCAGACTGGAAACTCAGACATGGAAAGAATGATCAAGAAAAAAAGGTGAATGCTGCTACCACATCCATAGTTTCGGTTGAACCATTCAACAAAGAACAACTTGATATTTGGAAAAATCTTTTAGGAGGTAATTCAGAACAACACACCAATTGCTTGACACACCAAGGAAATATATCATTTACCTTTCTTGTTAGTAATGAGAGATTTATAATTTGATTCATAGAGTCAGGAGCTTTTTCAAGCAAGCAACTTCTACATCAAGTATCAAGCAACTTCTACATCTTGATTGATCAAACTTGCAGATGGATCACACGAAAAAATGATTAGAAAATGAGATGTAGATATTTCTCAGGATATCACCTATCTCTGAGTCTGTCGAGTCTATGTCTATTGAAAAATATGGCATGTTATGACATTGTTGCATCGGTCGTCATAATTTCAATTATGTTGCA